CCCGCTACCCGAGCCAAACTGCTGTTGCTGTCCGAGCCAAGATGCTGTTGCTGATGTCGCTGTCCGATCCGGGCCGAGATCTTGCGAAGCACAATACAAGGCTCGTCTAACGTTTAAGAAACAAATCCCAGCACCCCCCAGCATCTCCAGCATGCTGAGCATCCCCAGAGGCGTCCCGAGCGGGACATGAAAAAGCGCACCAAAATCATGCAAAATCGTGTCATGCCAAAATCAAGGAAAATCATGTCATGCCATGCGAAAAATCGTGCAAAACGAGCGCAAAACCGTGTAAAAAGCTCCCCGGCCTTGACGGGCAAGTATACCCGAGAATGCGCGGCCAACCAAAAAAAAACTGGGCCCGTAAAAAAAGAATGGCAAGTTGGGCGAGACAACGACAGCAGATCACGGAGGCCGCGGACGGCGGCGCCCGGGCTCGCACGGGGGCGGATGGTGCCGTCGTGCTGAACCTGCGGCGCGGGCCGGGGGCCTACGCGCTGCGCTCCCACACGGCAGGCCTCTCCCAGGCCTCGGGGCCGCTGAAGTGGTCGAAGGGCATGGGCAGCTTGCGCAGCAGGCAGTCCCACACCAGCGCCAGCCTGCTCCTGCAGCAGCGGGTTCTCCGCGCCGTCGGCCCGCGCCTGCGACCGACTGCTCTGCACCAGAGCGCGGGAGGCAGCGGGACGTCAACGGGAAACGCTGCGGCAGGGACTCGGGGCTGCACGGTGGGCCCCAACGGAGCGCAGAGGCTCCGCAGCTCGGGGTGGTGCGACGCCATCAGGGGGAAGAGCTCGGGCAAGGTCCTGTGGCTCGCTGCGCACTTCCTCAGGTCGTCGATCATGTTGGCCAGGCTCGTGGGGAAGACGTTCATGCTGTCCACGAAGCGAAGGGGACCCCAGGTTAGCTGCAGGCACTTCTCGCCCGACTTGTTGAGCACCCCGAGCCTCAGCCGGCTGTAGTCTCCCTGCTGGAGCGCCGCCTGGATTGCCTGGAAGACGCTCACGGCCTTCGCCTTGGCCTTGGCTTTGGCCTTGGGCTGCGGGCTGTCGGAGCTGCTGTCCGAGTCGCTGTCGTCCGAGTCGTCCTCCTGGTGCGCTCTGCGGACGGGAGAGCCCAGCGATGCGATGTAGCGCAGCAAGAAGTGGAAGTCGTAGCCGCCGCCGTTGTGAAAGACCACAGGGACACTCTTTGGCATCTGCGCTGCGATGTTGCATGAGTGACACAGCGCCCCGAGGTACCTGCCGGTGCCGTGGCAGTGGTGGAGCTTCTTGTCGACGTCCGCAAACGACTTCAGGCACTCCCTGCAGTGAGTGGCGCGCTCGTGAGCCAGCTCCTCCGCCAGAGTCAGGCGGGGTGGCAGCTGCCGCTCTTTCCACAAGAGGTAGTGCCCCGCCAGCCTGAGGAGGTCGTCCAGCATGGTGCGGACGACATGGAACTTGTCGCAGCCGCGCTCGTGGTGTGTGAGCCGCAGCCTCAGCTCCTCGGGCGGATCGTAGCCGCAGCGTCCCACAGCAACGAAGCAAGAGGAAGCCACGTTGGTCTGGCTGGCTGGCCGCACCTGGGCGACGTGCACCGATGGGGCGGGCGTGCTGTAGACCTCCAAGTCCGCGTAGCACACCAGAGGGGCGAACTCCGCGGAGGCCTTGGTCTTGTACCTCAGCAGGTGCTGTCCCTTGGTCGGGTCGGGCAACGGCACCTTCCTGGTGCGCTCGGCCACCTCTTTGCAGCACTGGCCGCTGCGGTGCCGCTGCCAGGAGGCCTTCTTCGTGAAGCGCGACATGCACTTCGGGCACTTGTACTCCTTGTTGCCGCCGCTGTTGCCGGGCGTGGCGCACAAGGTCACCCCCCGCCTGCTCGCGAGCGCCTGGAAGTTGTGGATCAGCGAGAAGTGCCCCTCGTGGAGCAGCAGCAGCGCCGTGTGCTCGGCTGATCCGTGGGAGGTCGGGGCCCTCTGCTGCAGGATGTGGAAGTACTCCTGCCCGTCGGGGCACAGTGTGCGCTGCCACACGAAGACGAAGACCTCCACCTTGCCTGCGTTCCGGAGCTCGAAGGCGTAGATGTCCTCCATGCCCACTGGGCGGTCGGTGGGCAAGCCTGAGAAGTCGAGCCCCGCGTCCGCCAGGACCGGCTGCCACCCAGCAGGGCGGCGCCCAGGGCGACAGGCAAGCTCGGGGTAGAGGAATGACCCACCACTGCACGTTGCGGCCTTCTTCCTCTCAGCAACTGAGAGCTTGTCCACGCCGAGGCAGTGGGCGAGGACGCACCACATGAAGCAGCGGTGGTCCGCGTTCTGCGGATTCCAGATCGCCTTCTTCTTCGCCAGGCTCTCCGGCAGCTCCTTCCAGCAGCCTCCCGCCTCGTTCGGCGGCGGGGGTGCGGGGATCTCGCCCAGTTGCTGTGTGGGCGCCGTCAGCAAGAACGCGGCGCTGATACCCACGAGGCGCCAGTTGGACTCCGGGAAGCGAGAGCGCTCGAGCGCCGTCTCAAACTTCGACCGGATTGCGGCCATCATGGCGCCTGCGCGTGCATCAGGCGACGCAGCAGGTCTCACGATCCACGGGGCCAGCTTCAGGAAGTAGTGCTGGAACTCCAGGCCCGGCTGCTGGCCATCCCCGAAGGGGTCCCCGGCCGGCCGCGACAGCAGCAGCTGGAAGCTCACCTTGGCGAGGAAGGGCAGCTGCACGACCAGCATGTCCTGGAGCCGGTCCACCAGCAGCCTCATCGCGTCCACGGTGAACACGTCCTGCCCTGGCAAAGGGCGCAACCTTAGCTCGCGGGTCCAGGCCACGTCGCGCGGGCGCAGCACCGTCACGTCCGCCTCGGCTCGTGGGGCGCGGGGCTCCTCGGTGGGCACCGCGCGGAGCGACTGCAACCACAGGCGCCCCATGAGGCGGTCGGCGAGAGCGGCGGCCATGATGCGAATTGGGAAGCTATTTTGAGCCGAAAGATCTGATGATCCGATTAATTTTCCCTACGCTGCGCGGCGGGTGTTCGTGATCGGACGTCAAAGGCGCTTGCGATGACCGCTCTGTTTTTGCTCCTGTCCGGGTCTCTGAGCCGTTTCTGGGGAAAGTGACACCTAAATCTACCTGCTCAGGGCCTCGATGCTGTCGCCCTGCATGAACGGCGCTGCCTCAGCGCGGCCTGCTTCTTTCGAAGCTCCTCTGCCGTCGCCTGCGGCTGCGGAGCCGCCGGCGCCTTGCGGGCACGCTTGTTGAGCTGGCCCTGGAAGTAGGAAATCAGCTTCGGCGCCTGCTGGGCCAGATCCTCGCCCACGACTCGGAGATCGAGCTCGGCGAGGCGCCGCAGGGCCTCCTCGCAGACGGGCTCCTCTAGAGCCTTGCGCTTCCGCTTCAGCCCCTGGCAGAAGGCCACCGCGTCGGCGGCCTGCTGCTTACGCTCGGCCAGCACCGCGTCATCGGGAGGGGCGCCCGCGATGGGGGCAGCCTCCTCGACCGATGACGGGGCAGCGTTGCCGGGAGGGGCGCCCGCCACGGGGGCAGCCTCCTCGACCGATGACGGGGCAGCGTTGCCGGGAGGGGCGCCCACCACGGGGGCAGCCTCCTCGACCGATGACACGGCGTCGGCCGGCAGCTCCTGCTTGACGCATGGCTCGTGTTTGACGACTGAAGGCGCGCTCGTGATGTCGAGGATCTCCCAGTCCTCATCGGCGTTCTGGTTAGCCTTGTCAATAGCGCGTCGCTTGTTCTCACGGCTGCGGAGCTTGGTCCTCTGTCCTTGGACCTGCTTCCGCAAATCCTTGAAATCTTGGAGGTCGACGTCCTCCAAAGCGATCTTGCCGGCGGACCCGTCTGCAATCAGACGGTCCAGCACGGCAGATCCCAACGTCAGCTCCTGCCGAAGACGGCTCAGCTCCTCGAGGGAGGCCCCGCGCGCGGGCAGGGCCTCAACCTCGTGGAGGGCCCTCTGTAAAGGCTCCAGCTGCGCGCGGCGCTCCAGCAGCACGTCGGCCATGGCGAGGACGAAAGTCTCGGATTTCCTACTAGTGCTCAGAGGCTGCGGTTGGGTGCCCCGGCGGGGTCTTTGCGGGCGTGTTCTTTTATGCGGGGAATCCACCAACAAAAGAACGCAGTTTTAGAAGGGACAAGACTCCCGGAACACGCCGGTTTTCGCAAGGCTGTGCCCCAGTCCGAGCGTCACAGAAACGAGGAATAGTCACAGAAACGAGGAACAAGCGTCACAGAAACGAGGAATAGTCACAGAAACGAGGAACAAGCGTCACAGAAACGAGGAACAAGCGTCACAGAAACGAGGAACAGCGTCACAGAAACGAGGAACAAGCGTCACAGAAACGAGGAATAGTCACAGAAACGAGGAACAAGCGTCACAGAAACGAGGAACAAGCGTCACAGAAACGAGGAATAGTCACAGAAACGAGGAATAGTCACAGAAACGAGGAACAAGCGTCACAGAAACAAGGAACAAGCGTCACAGAAACAAGGAACAAGCGTCACAGAAACAAGGAACAAGCGTCACAGAAACGAGGAACAAGCGTCACAGAAACGAGAATAGTCACAGAAACGAGGAACAAGCGTCACAGAAACGAGGTATAGTCACAGAAACGAGGTATAGTCACAGAAACGAGGAACAAGCGTCACAGAGACGAGGAATAGTCACAGAAACGAGGAACAAGCGTCACAGAAACGAGAATAGTCACAGAAACGAGGAACAAGCGTCACAGAAACGAGAATAGTCACAGAAACGAGGAACAAGCGTCACAGAAACGAGGAACAAGCGTCACAGAAACGAGGAACAGCGTCACAGAAACGAGGAACAAGCGTCACAGAAACCATGAAGTATATCGCAGAAACGATGAACAACCTTTTGCAATAGATGATAAGTTACAGATACAATCCATGTGTTTGTTTTTGTCGTTGCCAATAATGAACTGTCAGCGCTGACCCTGGTATAAATCAAACACAAGCAGAAACGATGAAGGCTATCACAAACTGAAACAGTTTGAAGATGCTTTGTTTTTTTTTGGCAGGAATGAGGCAAACTAAAGGATGGCCATCTCAAGGTTTCTTGACCTGTCAAGAACTGCTTGGCACAACCCCCGCGTGAATGTCAACGCAAGCCCTGCCGTTGAGACCCTCTCTCACTGTTGATGCATTTTCCGCACACACTGTCAATTGTCCTATCTCGCGCCTCAAGCTGCATTTGTGGCATGCCTTGAGCGGTTCAAAATGTCATCCCAAGCCTCGGCCGCTCTCAGGATCCATGCTTCGTTTGCGTTGCGTCCTTTCTTGACTCCCTTTCGCAGAACCTCGTTGACCATCTTCTTGACATCCGAGAAGTCAAAGGTCTTCATCACTTTGTACCTGCGGACTGTGTCGTTGCAGGCATTGCCCAGAAACTTCCTGTCCTCTTCTGTTAGAGTCGAAAGGTTTGGCTCCCTCATCCTGTTCTCCATCTCCCTATGAGTGAAAGGGTTGGTGGGGGTATCAATTGCCAGCACACGCTGCACCAGCTCCACGCTGGGAATGGGAGTGTCTTGACGCACAAACTCGCGGAAATCGTCCTTGGGAACGACCCAATACAAAATGATCTTGTGAACTCCACTCTCCCGCGCTGCCAGTTCCAACAAATTGACATCAAGTGGGTGTTGTGTGGCAGTGGTGATCTGGAAGCAAATCAGCTCGCCGTCCTTCACGGGAACGCAAAAACAAACATGGCATGTAACGTCATGTGCATGCAAGAAACGACCAAAACATGATTCGACCCTCCATACGTCTCCTTGAGAGCAGTGCAGGAGTCGATGGATGGCATGAATGGATCTTTGGGTTCCAGGTATTTGTTTCGCCATTTTCTGGCCTGTTTGAAAAGATCCGTCAGGTTGCCATCCACCTGCCGACGATCCAGCTTGGAAAACTCCACCTCGAACATTGGCACTTCAACATCGACCGGCCTCGCATAAAGCATCCGGCCGCGGCAAAGCTCTCGGTGAGCAAACTTCTCCCAAACCTTGCCGAACCCACTTCTGTCAATATCCTTGAAAGCTGCCATATACCTATGTACCTTCTCCTCAAACGTCGTGATGAGGAGGTCTGCAGCTTCCTTACTGACACATTCAACCGCAAAAGTGGTGAAGTCCTTCTCCGGCATGATCTGGAAGAGTAAATGCGCCGGCTTTAACTCCCCACCTTGGTCGATGATGCCGGATCTCCAGATTCTCTCGAGCAATTCTGTCTTGCCTAAAACATCGGCACGAGCCCTCTCTATCTGGTAGGGCCTCGCAGACTTCAAATGCCGAACAATACCCCCGAACTTGTAGTAGCGCTCTTCGACATCTTTGTTGCTGAAGTCGGGGCGGAGGTACTTGAGCACGCACCGCGCTTCTTGCAAGGTCCATGTTGCCATGTACAAAAATAATGGGTCGTCTTTCTTCCACTCTCCAAAGTGCATTGGATCAGGCGAGGGTGCCACGATGGTCCTGGCCCTGGCAGGGTAAATGTACTGATCTTCAGCTTTGTCTGGGTCCACAACGTAATAATTCTCGGGGTCCTTGAGCTCAGAGCACTTCCCGGGCGCCCAATCTGTCGAATCCATGGTCCGCACCTCGTAGGAGCCGTCGTCGCCCGGCATGAAGAGGTAGACAGCTTTCCACTTTCTGGCTTCGAAGACCACTGTCTTCTGCTCCTTCATCAGGAGGCGCAGGAGGTAGGCGATGGAAAACGATTTGCCGATGCCCGGGGACCCGATCACCGCAACACGCCTATGACCACGCACTGCCTCCTCCCACACCAGGCGGGTCTGGTTCCGCACGAAGAGCCACGGTTTGGTTTCATCAGCGTTCAAAAACTGGGATAGCGGGAAAATCTGCATGCCGAGCTCTTCCGCCAGGTTCACGTCAATGTTGGGATAACGAATTTTGTCACGCAAACTCAGCGCCTGAGACGCCAGCAGCTCGTTGGCAAACATTGTCGCATTGCCATCCGCGACCCAGCCGAAGCCCGCCTGTGCCCAAAGCAACAACCCGGTAAAAAAAGAGAAAGAACACTGCTTTGCAAAGCTGGTGCGCAGTGCCAGTCAGCTTGGAGAACGAATGAACATGGGAAAAAAGATCTAACTTTGCAATTGAATCGTGTCCCGCCTGCGTGTCCATCTTGGCCTCCTGGACTTTCTTCTCGGCCTCCTGGACCTCCTTCTTGGCCTCCTGGACTTTCTTCTCGGCCTCCTGGACTTTCTTCTCGGCCTCCTGGACGTTCGGCTCATCCCTTTCCCGTTTTGCATTTCGTAAGTCTTCCAGCGCCATCTCCAGCGGCACTGATGCCATCTCCAAGCGGCGCTGCTCTCCGTCCAAGCGGTCTAAAGCCAGCTTCAACTGCCGTTGTGCCAAGGAGGCCATGTCCTGTCAAGCGCAAATCCACCCTCAAGTCATCCCGGTGATGGCAACTCAAGAAAACACCCGACGCCTCGTCTGGCTGCATTGCCCTTCGCGCCACGAGGTGGCCCGCGCAAGGACGGCCAGGCTGCATGAATGACACATGCGCTCCGTAAAGGAGCAGCACTGCCGCGAATTGCGACCACCGACGTCTGGCTCTCATGGCCCTGCAACCAGCAACAATCCACAAGAAACCCATCCTTGCATCACCGCACCTTTGACCGGGAAAACACTGGGCCGCCGACAAATAGTCTTGAGGAGGTCGATGTCGGGGCAATACCTGGAAACGGATCAGGAAGCCACTGAAAAGAAGGGTCGAAACGGTGGGTCACTTTGGACGTCTCCCTTTGCGTGCTAAAAAAGTTGCAATTGCTGCCAAACGACCTCGTGACTTGTACCTTGCTGAACGTGGCTCTGCTTGAGTTGAACTTGGATGTTTGTTTTTTTTTGTTTTTGCGAATGTCAACGCGTTGTCACTTTGAGCCGCGCAACGCCTCGATCAACAAAACCAACTGCCATGATGAAAATTGGAGCAACATGCACACTGCGCACACCCAAAATTAGAAGTGTCATCGAGTCCACAGGGTTGGTTGTTCGCTTTGTGAACGCTTGGGCAAACAGGTGGACATGTCAATCTGAGTGCTGAAATATGTCGTTTCCCTTCCCCCCAAAAAAAGAGAGGCCCTTTTACGTGCAGCCAAAAAAGCTACATTGTCGTCGCTTACTAAAACCAGGTCATCAACACTTGCTACGAAGATCACACCAAAAAAAATGAAACCAAATCAGCGTAAAGCGCATTTCAATACGCACAAATGAGGCATTCACATAATCAGGTGCTAAAAGCCAGGACGTCGCGGTAAAAGAACGCAGCGGGGACAAGGCTTCGCGACGTTCCAACAAACACGCCAGCGCCACACGCTTCCCAAAGCCAAGCATCCTCAGCGCGGGGACCCCCAACGCTCGCGTGAACCAAGCACCGCAGAAGACCATGAAGTCCGTTGAGGTCGGAAAGGGCACGCTGATCATCATAGATTCATCCGCAACAGGCGTCACGCGCAAGCCGCTACATTTAAGCAGCGCTAAGAGCTCAATTTTCTCAGCATCACAAAGGGCATTCCGGATGAAGCTCCTCAAACCGCAAATCCGCGACCTCCACACTGGCTGCTCATCAGCCACACGGACCTGGCCTGTACCCTGACCCGCGCGGCTCTGTGGGCCATCTCAGCAGGGCGGTCTATGAGCACCCCGCTATCATTCCATGCCCGAGCTGTTGATGGCAGCTTGGCCTCTGAACTGCCAGCTGGCCGGCCTGTTCGCGGGCCTCGTTGCGGCGATGTGGCTGGCCGCCCAGCTTTCTGGGGAAAGCGATGCCGAGGCTGCTGGAGCTGTTCAGCGGGACGGGCTCGATTGGCCGCGCCTTCCGCAAGGTCGGCTGGGAAGTGACTTCCTTGGACCTTGAGCCCAAGTTCCGCCCGGACATTTGCTGCGACATCCTGCGTTGGGACTACCGAGCCATCGCCCGGGCACTTCCACTTCGTCTGGGCCTCGCCGGTCTGCACCGAATACTCCAGGGCGCTCACCACCCGACCCCGGCGGCTGCACGAGGGCGACGCGCTCGTCTTGCGGGCCATCGAAATCATTGGGCACTTCGACCCTCCCATGTGGGCCATAGAGAACCCGCAGACGGGGCTCCTGAAAAGCCGCCCCTTCATGCAGCGGCTGCCATGGGTGGACGTGACGTACTGTCGCTATGGGACGCCCTATCGCAAGCAGACCCGTCTGTGGACCAACATGCGTTGGAGGCTGAGCCGCGCACTCTGCAAGCCCAGTGACCGCTGTGAAGCCTGGGAAGACAGAAAACATCGCAGAGCAGCCCATAGGGACCAAAGCTCATGGGAAAGCATTATGAACGGGTCTGCGGGCAATCCCGCGAACTGCTGTACAGCATTCCGGCAACCTTGTGCGATGAAATTGCGCGCGCAGCAACTTCCGAGCTTGCAGACCGCATGAGCATTCCCGTCTGAATCTCGCAAGTTTCCCCCGTCACCTGCACCCCCTGCAGCCAAAAATCGAGCGTGGTTCCCCCATGCTCCTGCACCCTGGCGGCAAAAATCGGGCATAGTTTCCCCCGTCACCTGCTCCCTGGCAGCCAAAAAAACGGGCGTAATTTCCCTGCACCTGCACCTTGGCTGCCAAAAATCGAGGATAATTTCCCCTGCACCTGCACCCTGGCGGTCAAAAATCGGACATGGTTTCCTCCGTCGCCTGCATCCTGGCGACCAAAAAAAATCGGCGTAGTTTCCTTTGCACATGCACCTTGGCGCCAACAATCGGGCATAATTTCCCTGCACACCTGCACCCTGACTGCCAAAATCGCGCAGAGTTTCCCCGCACCTGCGCACTGGCGGCCAAAATCGGGCATAGTTTCCCAGTCAAAAAAAAAGAATGGGCGTAATTTCCCTTGCACCTGCACCTGGCGGTCAAAAATCGGGCATAATTTCTCCGTCGCCTGCATTATGGCGACCAAAAAATCGGACATAGTTTCCTTTGCACCCGCACCTTGGCTGCCAAAAATCGACCACATTTTTTTTGCACCTGCACACTGGCGGCCAAAAAAAATCAAACGTGACTTTTTTCTGCACTTGCATTCTGGCTGCCGAAAATCGAGCAAAATTTCCGCTGCGTCTGCACACTCGGCAAAAAACGAGCGAACGAGGAACAAGCACTCAAGGAACAAGTGCGCGGGCAAGAAACAAGCATGTGGGTGAGGAACAAGCAAACGAGGAACAAGCGGGGACAAGCGCGTGGGCGCGTGGGCACGCGGGTAAGGAACAAGCAAGGCGAGGAACAAGCGCGCGAGCGAGAAACAAGCATGTAGGTGAGGAACAAGCGTGCGGGCGAGGAACAAGCAGGCGCGAGAAACAAGCGGGGGGGGGCAGGAACAAGGGCGAGGAACAACTGCGAGGAACAAGAGCGAGGAACAAGCAGGGACGAGGAGCAAGTGGGGGGGGATGTCACGGAAGCGATGAACAAGGGAGCGCGATGTCACGGAAGCGATGAACCTCTCTCTTTACAGGGGTTTCCCAAATGGCTTGTATTCTACCTGAGAGGCTTCTAGCACTCGTCCGTCCAGCATTTGACCTCTGCAAAGGATTCGTCAAAGTCCTCTCCCCCCTTCTCTCCCCCCTCCTCTCCCCGCCCCACCCCCCCCCCCCCCCTCTCCCCTAAATAGGCTGCGTGAGGCGTGTGGCTGCAAAATTAGAGACCCTTGATATGCGCTGCAATTTGGCTCTCTTGGATACTGGTTCGCGTCTCTCCCCGGCAGGTTGCATTTCAAGCGATGTCAAGCTTTGCCAAAGGAAACCCCTTTTCCCTTTTTCGGGGACCCCTTTTTTTGGGACCCCTTGTTTTCTTTTTTTTTGTTTTTCTTAGCCCTGCAAAGGTTGGCTCGCTTGAAATGCAACCTGGAGCCAAATTGCAAGCATATCTAGGGGTCTCTATTTTGCAGCCACACGCCTGCACGCAGCGTTTTAGACTTTGAATCCTTCGCAGGACGAGGTCAAATGCTGGACGGACGAGGCCTCTCAGATAGAATATAAGCCATTTGGGAAACCCCCTCTAAAGAGAGAGCAACGACTTCTCAGGAGCGAAGTGGAAGAACCTGACGGGCACCACCCGGTGGAGCGATCACCCTCGACTACTCTCACCTCACCAGGGGGGCTGGACAAGGTGGAAGCCTGGCAGGCCCAGCGGCCGAAGAACAAGTAGAAAAAAAAAACTGGTTTTGGGGCTCCTCGCATCCGCGGAACCTTGCTCAAGCTCCTTTTTGGGGCAAGAAGTAGGTGTGTTCAGGCCTCCGCGTTCTCGCGGAACCTTGATCAGGCTCTTTTTGGGGCAACAAGGAGGTGTCATCAGGCCTCCTCGCATCTGCAGAACCTTGAATAGCCCCTTTTTGGGTTATAAATGGAGGCGCTAAGGGACCTGGCCGACGACTTTAACTTGCGAGGCGCGACCTCGACGTGACGCAGGCCATGGCGCCCAACGACCGGCTGCAGGCCGACCTCATCGACTTCAGCCAGAACACGCGGGGGAAGACAAGTACGGCCTGGTGGTGATGGACATCTTCACCCGGGAGGCCGCCGTGGAACCTCTGCAGAACAAGAACGCCGAGACGGTGGGCCGCGCCACCAAGCGCGCCGCAAAGGAGCTGACGGGGGACGACGGAAACTTCGTGGTCACGACAGACCTGGGCAACGAGTTCGCCACGCTGGACCGGGAGCTGCCCGAAAATGCCGTGCACCGCACGAAGCGGCCCGAGGACCGCAACGCCATCGCCGTGGTGGACCGGGGCATCCAGACGCTAAAGAAGGACCTGGCCACGAGGGTGGCGCGCAAGGGCGGGCAGTGGAGCGACCACTTTCAGCAGACCGCTTCGGCCTACAACGCGCGGCCCCACGAGACGGTGCACGGCGCGCCGAGGACGTGGAGAAGCAGCCGGCCACGGAGTTCAGGGTCCTCCAGGACAACGCCGACAAGTTCCAGCACAACAAGGACCTCACCGAGCGGCGCGTGAAGGCGGTGGAGGACGCGGGCGCCTTCCGAGCGCCGACGAACGCGGCGAGGAGCTTCAACCCTCAGTACGGCGACGTGCAGCAGCTGGGGGCCGTGGACTCATGACCGTCCGCAGCACGGAGGGCCGACCCTGCTGAAGCTGGCGCTGCCGGCGCCGCAGGGCAGCGGCAACGCGGCGGGCCGGCTGACGAGACGGGGCAGGCCGGTGGCTGTGAGGCAGCTGGACGACTTCCTGGCGCCTCCGAGGCCCAGGACCCTCGACTAATTTGAAAATGATTTTTGAGGCACTCTTCAGGCCTCCCTGCGTCCAGGGACGCTTGAAGCAAGCCCCTTTTGGCGCAAAAAAAAACTTTGATCACACTCAAGTTTGCCTGATCGAGCGTGCGCAGGCTGGGGGGAAATTCCCGGAGCCTGCTCAGCTCCTTTTTGGGTGCTCGGGAAACCAACGGGTTGGGCGAACCAATCAAATGAGGGCTGGCGTGGGCAAACCGTTCAAAACCCGTGCAAAAGCTATTCCTCTAGTGCCTACATCAATGTAGGCACTGTAAGAATAGCATTTTTGTGGCGCAAAACCGTGCAAAACGAGCTATTCCTCCAGGCCGTATATGAATATACACCCTGTAAGAATAGCATTTCGTGGCGCAAAACCGCACAAATGTCCCTGGGTGGCTCCACTCTCCCCCAGCTCCATGCTATATGTGCTATATGTGCTATATGGACGCCAACCCGCTGAACCTCCACTCTCCCCGGGTTCCTTGCTATATGTGCTATATGTGCTATATCTCACAAGGCAACCCACCGAACATCCACTCTCCCCGGG